TGATTGCGGAGAGGACTCGGATACGAGTCGAAGGGACTGGGTTTATTGAAGCATGAGTTGGGCCAGAACTCAGAAGCCGCGACGCGCTGGCCACGGTTACGAGGGATGAGGCCAGCCAAAATAGCACCGCCACACATCTTTCTTCAATTAGATTAAAAATAATAATAATAATAATAAGAGAAGTCTGTTGATAGTAAAGGAAAGTAGACAATGAAAGAGAGAGCAATGAAGACGACTTGGAATAGGATTTCAAGAGAAGGATTCTAAAATGGAAGGATTATATGTAGCCTGAGGAAATGAGGTAGGTGGGTGACAGCAGTACGAACAAGTGGAGAGGCTTTGGAACTTGGCACCGCCTTCCTATTTTGCTTGGGTCTTTCGTGGACGTCAATTCTAGTTAAATTCGAGGCTTATCTTTCAAGGTCCTGAAAGGTAATAAAGGAAATATGAAATATCTAAAAGAGCCAAGGACAAGGTGACGGAGGGAGGAGAAAGGAGTCATTGCATTTAATTAATTAATTAAGCTTCGCGACTTTTGTTCTTTTCGAGGATTTAGGTTTTGTCATTTTAATATTTCGTTTGTTTTTAAATTTATTTTTATTTTAAAATATATTAATACAATATTTTTTATTGTATATTTTTTTTTTGAAATTCACACAAAAAAATAAGAAAAACTGATTTTTACATACAACTTTTTAGAATACATTTAAAAAAAATAAACCGCACCACCTTCTATCTCAGTAACCTCTAAAGAAGCATTTGAAAATGGAAATCATGTTCTCTTAATTTTTGTTTTTATATTTAAAATTACTATGTTTTAATATTTTTAAATGATTTTGATGCATTTGTATTAAAAATAAAAAAAAAATTATTTTAAAATATTTTAAAATAAAAAATATTTTAAAAAAATTATAATCACATTTCTAATCATCGTGTAAATCAATTACCTAACCACATGTTGACTAAAATTTTATATTTGTGTAAATCAAGAAAGATAGTTTTAGTTTTTTCTTTTTGTCTTAAGAAAAACAATAAAAACACTATAGAAGGCGAAACTTTTATTAGATAACGGAGTGTACTTCATATTTGAAATTCGAGTACTTTAAAATTATATACAATCTTTTATGTAAAAAAAATGCTATTTCACTATTTATAAAAATCCCTTTTCTATATTTTTTTTATCTTTTTGAAATAAATTATTAAAACGTTAGGGATATGATTGATTGAGAACAAACATTTAGATAGAAATGGATAAAAACCATAAAATGAAATTAACTCATCAACAAATTAAAGACTATAAATTGTTCCTGGAATAAAAAATAAAAAAAAAGAAAGCGAAAAGCCTAATAGTCATGGAAGGGAGAATAAAATATTATTTGATTGTGTTTTCTTTAGTAAAAAGAAAAAAGGAAAAGAGAGTATAAAGAAAATTTATTCGTTTTGAAGATAATTCTTATCTATTACATTACATCACAATTACAATTTTAATATACTTAAAGAATTAGGCTTTTAACATATATATATATATATTAATTGTTGTTTTCTATGTCCAAATTAATAATTAATTTCGAAATATTTGTTGAGGAAAGAAACATTCCAAAACAAGAGGACCAAAGAATAAAATGAAGAGAAGTCTCATGTCCAAACTCAAATTCATGAAGAAGAACTTTTTAGTTCATTTATTTTCTTTCATTTTCTTTTTTAGCCCCTATGGTTTTTGGAATTTCAATTATTGATAAAAGTTTATTTATTTATCTTTTAGTTTCTAAATATGAGAGAGAAATTTATCATATTATATATATAAAAAATCATTAGCTAATATTTTTGTGATAACAAGTATCTTTCAACAAAGAGGTTCTATTAAGGTATTTTTGAACTATCATCTTACTTGAAAAAAGTTGTTGGGTTGAGAGAAAAATGTTTTACATGTTTGATTTTGTACGTTTTAAGTTTTTTGGGATTGGTAGATTGTTTCTTTTAATATTCTAATGATATTTATTTTATATTTTTAAATTAAAATAAAATTTCAAGCTAAAAACCAGTCCCCACCTTGATTTTTCAAACAACAGCATGGGAGTTTAATTTGTTTAAGTCTTCAAGAAAAAAATATGAACAACACATGTTTTTACTTTAAAAGGTTAGCAAGCCCATGTTTCTAAGTTTTGTTGTAAAGGCTTAAGCATGCTAACTTACTTATACTAGCGTATTCAAATATTTTTTTAAATTTTTAAAATTTAAAATTTATTTTTTAATATTTAATTAATTTTAAATTGATAATTATAATTTATTTTAATAGAATTTTTGTGCTTTCAAAAAAATATCTTAATATTTAATCTATGCTTAATTTTATAAGCATTTATATTTTATACTATATTAAATAAAAAAAAATATTTTTTAAAAAGACATTAAACCTTATAGATTTGATAACTGGGATCATGAGTTTGATGGATTAACTTAAATTGATAAAAAATTAAATTTTATAATTTATTTTAGTTTTATTTTTATGAAATTGTTGTAGTTTCAAACATATATCTCGATACTGGTTGATACTTAATTTTATAATTTTTTATCATATAATTAAATAAAAATATTTTTTTAAAATTCTTAAACCTAATGAAATCTATAATCTAGATTGCGGGTTTGACAAGAAAAATCGCAAAACCTGAATATTAATCAAATATATCATCATTTCAATATTATAAAAAAATATTATCTTGAATTTTTTTAAAATCAAATTACTTTTTTATTTGTTACCTAGATTGTTTTTGAATTTACCAAATTAATTAGATAATATCCTAATAAATCTCATATAATTTAATTTAAAATCTAAATTAAATAAAAAATCAGGATAAAATCTTTTGACTTTGTTTAATAACACTGCATAAGAGTTTTTTTTTTTTGTTTGGATCTACGTGGAGTGTCTGGGTCAGCTTGCGCGCATCATGACTAATTCTCACGGTCCACTGAATACCCTGCAAACCCAGTAGGCATGTAAGATACCACAGAGATGACAGACGTACACGCTAGGGCTCGAACCCATGACAGTAGAAGAAGACAAACTCGACTAATCCACTGCAGAAGAGTTTTTCATATCAGTGCAAGCTGATCGTCCAGTCTATCTATAAAAGGTATCAGTTATCGTCTAAAAGCACCATCTGTAAACCTCATTGCTAGTTCTCATAATAAACCAACATGGAGAGGCATGATGGTTATAGGGTAGCCTTCACCATCCAACATCATTTACACAGTAAGTCCTATTTTTCCCAGAAGATCACCATATCGCTTAAGCTCAACTCTGGTCCGACAAGGGAGAGTTTATAACCACCAACTAAAATAATGCCAGTGAAAGCATTTAATCTGAATTTGGGGACGCCACAAATCTCAAAATTAGTGTACCATGCATAGGAGAAAACTGTTAGTTGGAAAGATTTGAACTCTTACTATCATTATTATTATTAATTATTGTTATTATTTTAATAAGATATCAATCTTTATTTATTTATAGAAAAAAATATTTTGAGCATTCTATAAATTAATTTGTTTTATAAATTACAAAAAATATCTTGAACTTTATATACTCATGACATTTAAATGACACTAAAAAAATGTTACAATTTTCAATTATTAAAATTCTTCTGATACATAAAAATAACAAAGATGCCATTATTTATTGTTGCAATCTTTTTTGAAAATGTTACCGTTGGTGCCTAGCCTTATATATACACTTGATTAATGGAGCACAAACACACAATTTTCTTCTCTTTAAATTAAACACACATTCTACCATGAACATCAACCATTTAAGTGCATAAAACCCACCAAAATTCATCAAAAAATCTCCAGAAACATAATTGCAACCTGAACTCCCAAAATATCTTCTCAGTAAACTGTCATTAATTCTTTAACTAACGTTTTGATGTTAGTTAATTTAGTTATTTACAGTTGTTTTAATTACACGTGTTGTAGGAGAAAGAGCCTAGAATATTGTAGCTCTTCTTAAAATTTGGTTTTGTAACAGAATTTGGATTGTGCAAAAACAGAATGAACTATGAAGGAATGAGGCAACAGATGTTTTCTCTCTCACCTGGTCTCTCCTCCTCTTCTTCCTCGTCTTCTCTACTGTAATCCACATGCAATATTCTTCCATTGCCATTGCTTAGATCAACGTCCCTGGATTATCTGTACTAGTAGGAACCATTCCAATAGTCACTGCACCATCTAGTATGTTGCAACAAACATAGCAAGTGATGCTGTCAAAGATCACGCACAAATTCAGCAAGAAGAATCCACTCAATCAACATTTATTTCATCCAAGAATCATGCAAATGAAAACTCAATCATATCTCCAGAAGATAACATTCAAAGCTGAAAATACTTTCCATAGCTGTACCTCATACAATGTTACTGTATTTCAGAATTCAAAATGTATACCATGTACAGAATATATGTGCACAAGATTAACCTATAAATAATAACACTTCAAGCATTCAGAAGGCACTGAAGCCATTTCCGAATATTCATTCTCTGTAAGAACTACTTTTATCTTTGTTTAGGTTCTTTTGCACAATCATTTAATGATCTCTTTTATTAGCCTATCTAAAGCAAGATTCTATTTGTTATTTTCCCATATAATGCAATAAGCATATACTAAGCTGTCATGTCTATTCAAATATTGAATTGTATTTTATCCAGAAACTGTTAATTACAAGTATACAAATTTCAAGATATATAGAAAAGGCACGTCCTGAATAAAAATGCCGAATATAATAATGTCCATGTCCAAGCCATCATGCTGGATTGCAATGTGTCGTGGGTGGAGCAGGATTGCTCATCACGTTGCTCACCCCTCCTCTCCTCCTGTGCATACGTACAAGTCTCCCTTTCCTTTCTATCTTTTATTTCTCAAATTAGTAACCCAATCGAGCAATCAGTCCTATAAAAGGCCATGATGATGGTAGCGTCCCATATCAACAATCTGAAGCTCCCCTGTCCTCTTTGCAATGGCTCTAACCCATTCCTCCTTCGCCACCTTATTCCTCCTCTTGTCATTGTCACTGACTGCCTCCGCCGGCGCTGGCGGTTACAACTATGATCAAAAGCCAGATACAACCAAGCCAAATTATACTTACAACCCAAAACCACGGCCAGACGTTGTCAAACCAGACCTCCACAAACCATATTACGAGTCCAATCCGAAGCCAACCCTCCCCAAACCAAAATTTACAGAACCACAACCAGACAATGGGTATGACTTAAAGCCATACCATGGCCAACCAACCATCCCCAAACCAGACACTGCCAAGCCAAATTATAGTTACAACCCAAAACCAGATGTTCCCAAACCGAAATTGACAATGCCAAAACCCAACTATGGTAATCACCCAAAACCAAAGTTGATCGTACCCAAACCAGACACTGCCAAGCCAAATTATGGTTACAATCCAAAACCAGATGTTTCCAAACCAAATTATAAAAATGTTCCAAAACCAAACCTTCTGAAACCAAAGATGACTGTACCAAAACCTGATCATGGTTATGACCCAAAGGAGAAGGTTTATGAACAACCAAAGTCAACTACACCAAAGCCAGAGATTATCACGGCACATGATGGGTATGCCCAAAAACCAAATCTCCCGGAACCAAAGTTATACGTACCAAAACCAAGTAATGACAAACTGGACTATGAGCATAGCCCAATCGGCATAGAAGGTTTTGTCCTATGCAAACAAGGCTCTAACTATACCCCTATTAAAGGTAATTTCTACACCCTCTTTATTCTTTTTCGGATTCAATGTAATACTTTGTTTCGCATGTTTTATTATTTTTACAGACGCTGCTGATCAATGATATTCTTTTGTTATATTTTCCTCACAAAAACTATTTTTTTTTTGTGTAGGAGCTGTGATAAGAATAACCTGTGCTGCTGTAGACCAGTATGGTTACAAGAAAGTCCCTTTCTCCTGCTTGACAGAAGCAACTAATGCAAAGGGTTACTACTTCAAAACATTGCCAGCTTTAAAGCTCACAGAATGCAAGGCTTACCTTGAAAGCTCTCCATTGAAAACCTGCAACGTTCCAACAGATATGAACTATGGGATTACCGGTGCTCCCCTTTCAGCTTATCACATTCTCCATGACAAGAAAATAAAACTGTACTCTATGAGGACCTTCTTCTACACCTCGACGACACCTACATCAACCCCTGCTGGTTATTAAATTGTCTTCTCTCCATGACTACAATTCATCTATTTTGTACTTTGTTTAAAGCTGTTGTAACTGGTTGATTTCCTTCTTATTGTTTATGGGCTTTTGTCTTGATGAGTTTCATTGTTGGGAGAGTTTTGAGATAAAAATTCTTCAATTAAGATTTTTTTTCTTTTTTTTGGGGAGATTAATGATGTATCAATATCACCAAATATTAATGAACCACAAGGTCATTGATTTTTTTTTCCTTAAAAAAATAAGTTAAAGACTAGTCTATTTTGTATTTTGTCCTCCGGTTTTAACATGTTTCTATTTCAATGTGTGCGTTTATAAATACTAAGTTACTTGGCATGGCATGTGCTTAGTAAATTTATTATTTAATTAATTTATAGTATTTAATTTCTATTTTTTGATAGAAATGAATAAATTTCAATGTTTCTTGAATATAAATGTACTTGATTTTCAAATAATTATATATGAATTTTGATAATTATAATAAATTAATTATCACATAAATTTTGATATAATTTAAGGGTTTTTGTATTTTAAGACTTTATATTTCTTCTCCGCTTAATTTAAGTCTTTTAGATTTTTAATAGTTAAAATAGAATATTAATATAATATTAGATAGTTGAGGAGTGATTTAAGTAGATTATTTTTAAGGTTGACGATGTTTTTCAATGAATAATAATAATAATAATAATAATGAAAAGGTAAAAATGTTTGGATTTTCTTTCCAGGTTCTCTGCGTACTCTTATCGTTTCCCTTGAGATATGCTTCATCAGCAATAACCGTGCTAAAAACAGTAATGGAGCTAGGCAATTTATTTCGGGGTGGCCGTACAAAAGTCTTAAGATGCCGTGTTTCGTCATTACAATTATGCAAACTGCAAATTACATAAATTATCTTGCCTTGTGAGGCTAATCATTGTGCCTTCCCATACTACTTTTCTTTTTTTTTTTTATTATTTTTTTAATTTTATTATTTAATATTATATTTATTGCATTTAGAATTGATTATTTATTTTAATTTGTCTTAATTTAGTTATCATAATTTCAAAATAAAAAATATTCTAGGATCAAATTAGTGATTAATTTAAAAAAATATTAATGCTTTTTTTAAAAAAATATAGTATCAATTCTGATCCTCTTTCTTTTTTTTTTCTTTTTCCTTCAATCATCAATTTTTTTTTAATTTGATCCTTTAATGTGGTGTTAGTTGAAGTTTGTGATTGATAATTTATTTTGATTTATTTTTTATATTATTTTTTTAATCTCAAAAAATATTTTATCATGGGGTTGATGGTGGCATTGTCCAAAAGAAGTCCATTTTTATTGTTTGAAAGGAATTAAAAAGGAAAGGACCAAAATTAAAAAAGAAAAGAAGAAGAAGAAGAAAGGAGAGGACCATAATTCGGAGTTGGTTACCCGCCTTTCCAGTCAATCGTGATGGCCATAATCTCGAACAACAGATATGTCATACGCTGTGTTTTTCTTTAAAACAAAATGTGGTGGACAACTTAAAAAAAGAGAAAAAAAAAATTAAATAACGTGACACGTGCCCTTCTGTTTTTATTTTAAGGTCCATGCATATAGGGCCACCAAGCTTGCGTGCCTAACTTTTTTTTAATCATTTGGTTTGTTTTCAATTTCAACTAATTGGTTTTTATTGTTTTTCTTATTATTTTTTTATTAATATTTTTTTAATTTTAAATTGAATTTCATATTTTTTTTCAATTAAATCCTTCAACATCTATTACCTATATAATTTTTTTTTAGGTATTATATTATTGATGAAATCCTAAAAAATCCAAATAACTTAAAAATAAGATTTATGTATTAAATAATTAATTAACTTTTTAGTTCTAGCAATAATATAATTTATTTTTTCTAAACAAGGTGAATAGTAACTTGATGTAAAAGGTCTAAGCAGCTAATAACTGGTATATCAAGATAGCTTGTAGCTGGAATTTAGTAAATTAAGGTAATTGACAATAAATAACTGGTGTTTGGTAAGTTAATGTATTTGGTATCTAATAAACCTAGACAGTTAATAGATGATACCTATAAAATATTTATTTTAATTAGTATAATAATTTTTATATACTTAATTCAATAATTTTGTAAAAAAAAATGTGAAACCTTTTAGATATCACCTTTTGCATCTTACTTTCCTTTAAAAATCTATTAACAACTGATTTTATTGCATTTATTAGGCAATTCAATAAGATGTTTATTATGTTGGGTACTTTAGAATAAATCATTATACTTCTACACATGTTTATTAATTATAACATAATTATGTTTTTCATTAATTTTATTTTATTGTGGTATACCTGACATTGTAAATTATGCATAAATGCCTTCTTGTTTTGAAAACTTAGCAAATAAGTCAGGATTTTATCCTGACTTATTATATCTTCTATAATACTCATCATCTTTATACCATCTAATAAAATTAACATTTTTATTTAATCATTTCTTGACTTTAGTAATATAAACCTTATAGATGGCAACATATTGAGATTTATTATGTATTAGATACACGTAACTATAATGTGCCCTATCTTCTTTAAAAGTGATAAAGTATTTTTCTCTAGTAAAATATGTAAGAGAGAGTGGTCCATATATATGTTTGGATGAATAGAATCAAGAAACTTATTGATTATTATGACACTTTTCTTACCTTGTTTTTTTTTTTTACTTTAATGCAATCCAAAGTCCAAACACAAGTTTAAATCAGGAAAATCTAGTTTTTCCAAAACTTAATTCTTCACTAATATCTAAATCTTTTTTCCTGAAGATATGCCCCAAACATCTATGCCACAAGATAAATTTCATTTATTTAGCAGCGCTTTAAACCAACATTATTATGCAGGGCCATCAAATTTTTTTTTATATAAGCCATCATCATATAGAGTACTGTCATAATCAACTATAATTGAATCAAACTTTAATTTGAGTTTACCACGAATCAACCATGGAAGAATATCATTGTCTTTAGGATCGTAATTTATAACTAATCTTTTATTTGATTTTATACCTATAAGGTTTAGTGATCTAGGTCACTTTGGCGACAGTTACACTAATAAATCTCACAGTGCAAGATTAATCAACAATATTATCTAGCTCTTTTATTAAGTAAACTTTAATGTGATAATAAAAAATAATATATAATAATTTAGGATGTTGTAGCTCCTCGTGTTAGACTTCACAATTCACCCTTCTCTACTACCCATATTTTTCTGTGTTCTTAATATATATAATCACTCATAATTATGCAGTGAACTAGTATAGCAAGAACCATGCTCCGCTACCAATTGAAAGAATAATTTATGTCATGAGTATTAATGAAATGAATTCAATCGGGCTATCATACCAATGGAAAGAATAATTTATGTCATGAATATAATGACTAGAACAATGAAATGAATATTCAATTGGGCTATTATACCAAGCGAAAGAATATTAGTTATTAACAGAATACTAAAGAGTGTGGCTAAATCACCTAGCCACACTGTGTGTAAATATTATTTATTATAATGGTTTTTAGTTTTTTTTTTTTTTGCATGTTTTGTTTATTTTTTGTTTATTTTTTTATTCAAGGATTTGATTTTTTTATTTAATTTTTCTTGTCCTTCAATATTAAGATATTTTGTAAATTGTGCTTCATATTTTATTTCTTTACACTAGGTTATATATTGGTTTTATGGATTTAATTTTTTCTTATTTTAACCTTCAATATTTGATTTATTGGAAGTTAAATTTTATAATTTTATAATTTATTATTTATTAATTTATCTTAAAGTCATGTTTCAAATTGCAAGTTTAATAGTTTCATTTGATTTAACTCAGATTATTTTTTTTATTGTTCTTTTTAATTAATTTTTTAATATTGGATTGGCTCTTTTTAATTAATTTTTTAATTAATTTTTTAATATTGGATTGGTTGAATTTTGAGTTTTCTAATTTTTTTTATTTGCTTTCTATAAGATTATTTGAATTTCATGATTTAGATCACAAGTTTGGTAGACTGATTCTATTTATTTTTTTTAGTTTTTTTTATAGAATTTCTGTAATTGCGCTTTGTTTTTTTTCTTTCTTTACATGGGATTATCCCAATTTTGTAAATCGAGTCACAAGTTTGGCATATTAAGCTGTGTTGACTTGATTCATTTTTTCAAGTGTTTTTTGATTGAAAATGTTTTCAATATCTCCTACCAAAAACTTGATCTTCTTCTCTTTTATTTAGTTTTTTTTTTCATTTATATCTTTAAATATTAGGTTGTTTAAAAATTGAATTTCATAATTTTTTTAATTTATTTTATGTGGAGTTATCTTGTTCATGTATTTAATTTTTTTTCAATTTTAATAATTAATATTGGATATATTAAAAATACAACTTTATAGTTTTTTTTTTTTGCTCCCCTAACTTTTAAAGCCACACCTGTTGTGCTTCAACATGCTTCATGCTATCAAGTTTTCAGTCGCTGAAAAGGCCACAACGGGTAGGTAGCCTGTGAATTGAATTAAGAGCAAAATAGGTTTTATCAATTGATTTCAAATCTATGAATTGAATTCAATAAATATAAAGATCATTGTGATAGGTTGTTAGGGATTATTTTCCCATATAAAGCAATAAGCATATCCTAAGCTGTCATGTCTATTCAAATATTGAATTGTATTTTATCCAGAAACTGTTAATTACAAGTATACAAAATTCAACATATATAGCAAATTAAGGCACGTCCTGAATAAAAATGCCGAATATAATAATGTCCAAGTCCAAGCCATCATGTCCAAGTCCAAGTTCAACAATGTGTCCTGGGTGGAGCAGTATTGCTCATCACGTTGATCACCCCTCCTCTCCTACTGTGCATACGTACAAGTCTCCCTTTCCTTTCTGTATTTTATTTCTCAAATTAGTAACCCAATCGAGCAATCAGTCCTATAAAAGGCCATGATGATGGTAGCGTCCCATATCAACAATCCAAAGCTCCATCCCTGTCCTCTTTGCAATGGCTCTAACCCATTCCTCGTCCGCCACCTTATTCCTTCTCTTGTCATTGTCAGTGATTGCCTCTGCTGGCGGTTACGGCTATGACCAAAAGCCAGATACAACCCAGCCAAATTATACTTATAAACTAAAACCACAGCCAGATACTTCCAAACCCAAGTATAGTTATGACCCAAAACCACAGCCAGACCTCCACAAACCATATTACGAATCCAATCCGAAGCCAACCCTCCCCAAACCAAAACCAGACAACAGGTATGACTCAAAACCATACCTTGGCCAACCAACCATCCCCAAACCAGACACTGCTAAGCCAAATTATGGTTATAACGCAAAACCAGATGTTCCCAAACCGAAATTGATAATGCCAAAACCCAACTATGGTAATCACCCAAAACCAAAGTTGATCGTACCCAAACCAGACGCTGCCAAGCCAAACTATAGTTACAACCCAAAACCAAATGTTCCCAAACCAAATTATGAATATGTTCCAAAACCGAACCTTCTAAAACCAAAGATGACTGTACCAAAACCCGATCATGGTTATGTCGTCCCGAAGGAAAAGGTTTATGATCAACCAAAGTCAACTACACCAAAGCCAGAGATTATCACGCCACATGATGGGTATGCAAAAAAACCAAATCTCCCGGAACCAAAGTTATACATACCAAAACCAAGTAATGACAAACTGGACTATGAGTATAGTCCAATCGGCATAGAAGGTTTTGTCCTTTGCAAACAGGGTTCTAACTATACCCCTATTGAAGGTAATTTCTACACCCTCTTTATTCTTTTTCGGATTCAATGTAATACTTTGTTTCGCATGTTTTATTATTTTTACAGACGCTGCTGATCAATGATAAGCTTTTGTTATATTTTCCTCACAAAAACTATTTTTTGTGTGTGTAGGAGCTGTGGTAAGAATAGCATGTACTGCTGTGGATCACTATGGTTACAAGAAAGTCCCTTTCTCCTGCTTGACAGAAGCAACTAATGCAAAGGGGTACTACTTCAAAACATTGCCAGCTTTAAAGCTCACAGAATGCAAGGCTTACCTTGAAAGCTCTCCATTGAAAACCTGCAACGTTCCAACAGATATGAACTATGGGATTACCGGTGCTCCCCTTTCAGCTTATCACATTCTCCATGACAAGAAAATAAAACTGTACTCTATGAGGACCTTCTTCTACACCTCGACGACACCTACATCAACCCCTGCTGGTTATTAAATTGTCTTCTCTCCATGACTACAATTCATCTATTTTTTACGTTGTTTAAAGCTGTTGTAACGGCTTGATTTCCTTCTTGTTGTTTATATATATGGGCTTTTTTCTTGATGATCAGTTTCATTATCGGGAGAGTTTTGTGATAAACATTCTTCAATTAAGATTTTTCTTCTTTTCTTTTTGGGAGATTAATGATGTATCAGTATCACCAAGTATTAATGAACCACAAGGCCATTGACGTTTTTTCTTGAAAAAAATAAAGTTAAAGACTAGTCTTTTTTGTATTTTGTCCTCCGGTTTTATCATGTTTCCATTTCAATGTGTGCGTCATAAAAACTAAGTTACTTGGCATGTGCATAGTAATTTATTGTTTAATTAATTTATAGTATTTATTTTTTATTTTTTTATAAGTTGTTTAAAATTATTTACAAATGAATAAATTTAAATGTTTATTGAATATAAATGTACTTAATTTTTAAATAATTATATATAAATTTTGATAGTTATAATAAATTAATTATCATAGAATTTTGATATAATTTAAGGATTTTTGTATTTTAAGACTTTATACTATAGAATGTGTATATATAAGAAATATTATAGGATTACTCTTGTGTTGTAATCTCTACTTTTATTATTGTATATTGTCTTGCATATATAAATAAAATAGATTGGTTAACTAATAGATCAAGCCTCCTACTTCTTCTTAATTTGGTATCAGAGTCTTTAAGCGTCCTATCTAAAACAGAGACTACATTGCTGATTTTATTTTATATTATTAAGAGTTTGTTTTTGTTCCATTCTTATAGTCTTACTATAATATTTTTGACTTTGGTGTTGATGAATATTCTCTTATAAATATTTCTAATTTTAGTGTGGGTAAATATTGCATAACACTAAAGGTGTAGTTTTTATGATTCTAATGATAATGAATAAATTCATAAAATTTAGATTAAAAAAAAAGGAAACTATTTTTTATTTTCTTTTAAAAAATATTTATTGCATATCAGCTATGTATTTTGCAATAAAAGTTCATAAATCGTATATACATCAAAGCCAACAAAGCCACACGAAAAAAATTGTGAGGGGCCCATAATTAAATCAATAAAGACCTCCAAATTTTTTTGATATTTTTTTATATTGAAAAAAGATTCATTTAGTTAGGTATCAAAATATAAATATGTGAAATAAGAAGAGAATACATAAGGGTGTATTTTGTTAAAAACACCCTTAACCCAAAAAATTTGGGCAAGCAAGGCTAAGTCCGAACAACCAAATCTCAATTTTTTGTTTTTTTTTTCTAGGAAAAAAATTTAAAATTTTGGATACAAAACAAAATCACAGGTAAATATAAACTATCTTTAATATCTATATCATTACCAATCTTAATGAGTAAATGATAGGTTGCAATAGTTATCACTTTCATCTTTGAACGATTTCTCATACAGATGGGTCGTTCACTTTCCTTCCTTGTAAGGAATCCCTACATTGTGTTATTCATGTAAACAATAACACCATAATCCATCAAGTATTAGGAAAAACTTAAGCAAAGATTTGATTCATAACAAATAAAAGAGAATTTATTACCTTTCTTTATGTTTGTTATAGTCCATCTTTACATGTCCTTTCTTATTATAAAACTAACATTTGATAGTAAAATTATCTTTTTATTTTTTATTAACTTTTCTAGATGCATTTTGTTTCTTTAGTGGGATTTATTTTCCATTTCCTTCCTTCTTGCTAACTCTTTGAGTTACCAGCAATGTTGTATGTTTCTTTAATGTTTTAAACATACTTGCACTTAAATACACATTTTTATCGATTTACTTATTCTTCATTGATCCTTAATTATTGGTGTTATAATTAATTTTGAATGGACGAAACTGAGAAGGTAGTGAATTCAGAATGAATTGAAACAGAAAACTATCATTTACATGCATTCTTAAAGCATTTAGCTTTGCAACTTCATCTGCCTTATCGGGAATATGATGTTGAACTCCTCTAGTACCATCATACTTCATGGTAGTTAATTCTTCTATAAAAGGGCCTGCTAGTGACTTGTCAACTGATCCTTCACAGAATTCATAAATTCCTTAGCATTTTTCATCTATAATTGAGAGGTTTTGATGTTGTTCGCCGGAATTATCCTCATTAACGTCAAACTAAGCATGTTTGACCTCTCTCCGGCTTTCATTTCAAAGACTTGTTCATCAGTATTGTCATCGGTAATAGCTTGGGTTTTATTCGTGAAAAATGAAAAGTCCAAATCCAAAGTGTTAATCAGACTTGCCCATACCATTAAGAGAATTTTGTCCCGTTGAGAACCAAAATACTTTAAGTATATGATCGCGACACAGCGGGGATTAAGACTAAAACTTTAAAAAACATTCTGACAATGAAGCTTAAGTCTATAGATAATATAGAATTTTATAATTCTAAATTAATAGACTATTCATGTCACCTCGGGGCAAAAACCTTAATTAGCGCATGCATTGTCCACTCTATAGATGCAAAAATATTAATCACCTTACCGTTTGATATAATTTTTAATTACTACTTAAAAATAGTTGTGTTACCTTTGGGTATGCACAACAACTAAAATATTATACCACTCTATCGAATTCATAACTAGTTAAAATGACTCTTCTTTAGGCTAGCCCCATTCTCCTAATATGATGACCTTTGAAGAATAATATCGTTGTCTTTAAGATCGTAATTTATGACAAATCTTTTATTTGATTTTATATCTATAAGGTTTAGTGATCTAGGTCACTTTGGCGACAATTACACTAACAAATCTTACAGTGCAAGATTAATCAACAATATTATCTAACTCTCTTATTAAGTAAACTTTAATGTGATCATAAAAAAAAAAAAAACCTTCGGATATTATGGTACCCGTAATAGACTTCACAATTCACCCTTCTCTACTACCCATATTTTCTATGTTCTTAATATATATATATATATATATATATATATATATAGCAAGAACCATGCTCCGCTACCAATTGAAAGAATATTAGTTATTAGATATAAATATAAAGATCATTGTGATAAGTTGTTAGGGATTCCTTTCCCATATAAAGCAATAAGCATATCCTAAGCTGTTATCACGTCTGTTCAAATATTGAATTGTATTCTATCCAGAAACTGTTAATTACAAGTATACAAATTCCAACATATATAGCAAATTAAGGCACGTCCTGAATAAAAATGCCGAATATAATACCGTCCAAGTCCAAGCCATCATGCTGGATTGCAATGTGTCCTGGGTGGAGCAGTATTGCTCATCACGTTGATCACCCCTCCTCTCCTACTGTGCATACGTACAAGTCTCCCTTTCCTTTCTGTATTTTATTTCTCAAATTAGTAACCCAATCGAGCAATCAGTCCTATAAAAGGCCATGATGATGGTAGCGTCCCATATCAACAATCTAAAGCTCTATCCCTGTCCTCTTTGCAATGGCTCTAACCCATTCCTCCGCCGCCACCTTATTCCTTCTCTTCTTATTCCTTCTCTTGTCATTGTCAGTGATTGCCTCCGCTGGCGGTTACGGCTATGAACAAAAGCCAGATACAACCAAGCCAAATTATACTTACAATCCAAAACCACAGCCAGATACGTCCAAACCCAAGTATAGTTATGACCCAAAACCACAGCCAGACCTTCACAAACCATATTACGAATCCAATCCTAAGCCAACCCTCCCCAAACCAAAACCAGACAACAGGTATGACTCAAAACCATACCTTGGCCAACCAACCATCCCCAAACCAGACACTGCGAAGCCCAATTATGGTTATAACCCAAAACCAGATGTTCCCAAACTAAAATTGAAAATGCCAAAACCCAACTATGGTAATCACCCAAAACCAAAGTTGATCGTACCCAAACCAGACACTGCCAAGCCAAATTATGGTTACAATCCAAAACCAGATGTTTCCAAACCAAATTATAAAAATGTTCCAAAACCAAACCTTCTGAAACCAAAGATGACTGTACCAAAACCTGATCATGGTTATGACCCAAAGGAGAAGGTTTATGAACAACCAAAGTCAACTACACCAAAGCCAGAGATTATCACGGCACATGATGGGTATGCCCAAAAACCAAATCTCCCGGAACCAAAGTTATACGTACCAAAACCAAGTAATGACAAACTGGACTATGAGCATAGCCCAATCGGCATAGAAGGTTTTGTCCTATGCAAACAAGGCTCTAACTATACCCCTATTAAAGGTAATTTCTACACCCTCTTTATTCTTTTTCGGATTCAATGTAATACTTTGTTTCGCATGTTTTATTATTTTTACAGACGCTGCTGATCAATGATATTCTTTTGTTATATTTTCCTCACAAAAACTATTTTTTTTTTGTGTAGGAGCTGTGATAAGAATAACCTGTGCTGCTGTAGACCAGTATGGTTACAAGAAAGTCCCTTTCTCCTGCTTGACAAAAGCAACTAATGCAAAGGGTTACTACTTCAAAACATTGCCAGCTTTAAAGCTCACAGAATGCAAGGCTTACCTTGAAAGCTCTCCATTGAAAACCTGCAACGTTCCAACAGATATGAACTATGGGATTACCGGTGCTCCCCTTTCAGCTTATCACATTCTCCATGACAAGAAAATAAAACTGTACTCCATGAGAACTTTCTTCTACACCTCGACGAGACCTACATCAACCCCTGCTGGTTATTAAATTGTCTTCTCTCCATGACTACAATTCATCTATTTTTTACGTTGTTTAAAGCTGTTTTAACGAATTGATTTCCTTTTTGTTTTTTATGGGCTTTTGTCTTGATGAGTTTCATTGTTGGGAGAGTTTTGAGATAAAAATTCTTCAATTAAGATTTTTTTTCTTTTTTTTGGGGAGATTAATGATGTATCAATATCACCAAATATTAATGAACCACAAGGTCATTGATTTTTTTTTCCTTAAAAAAATAAGTTAAAGACTAGTCTATTTTGTATTTTGTCCTCCGGTTTTAACATGTTTCTATTTCAATGTGTGCGTTTATAAATACTAAGTTACTTGGCATGGCATGTGCTTAGTAAATTTATTATTTAATTAATTTATAGTATTTAATTTCTATTTTTTGATAGAAATGAATAAATTTCAATGTTTCTTGAATATAAATGTACTTGATTTTCAAATAATTATATATGAATTTTGATAATTATAATAAATTAATTATCACATAAATTTTGATATAATTTAAGGGTTTTTGTATTTTAAGACTTTATATTTCTTCTCCGCTTAATTTAAGTCTTTTAGATTTTTAATAGTTAAAATAGAATATTAATATAATATTAGATAGTTGAGGAGTGATGTAAGTAGATTACTTTTAAGGTTGACGATGTTTTTCAATGAATAATAATAATAATAATAATAAT